CTAAATTTTAACAGACACTCAAAGGGACAGTAAAACATGGCAATGTAAAAAGAATAGTTAAAAACTCAGCTAAGCATTTAAAGCTGTTTTTAGCTTGGTAACGTTGCAACTGAATCATTGTAAGGCATGCTTTTTCTCTGATACGTTACAGAAATAGCTCATCAGCCTACAGTAGGATTACTGTCAGACTTATGTTCTTTTATTAATAAAGGAATCCCACTCCTCCTGCCTGATAACACAACACCCACTCCCACGCCTTGCCCCCACTGTTCTTACCTTGTCATCTCTCCCTTTCGCTCTAGATTCCCTCTCCCGGCTACTGGCAGGCTTCTCACTTTTTGATATTGGGTGTGCTCGGCCCACAGGCCCACGTGGCTGCAGTCCTGGTGATTCTCTCCTCAAAGGTTTTACTTCTCGGTTGGGACGTTTGATCTGAGGGGGAACCCTAGCCAAAAAAAAGAAGATATGTATTAGGGTCCATTTAAAGTAAATAAAAAGGCAATCTATTAATACTCCCTTCACAAATCACTTGCAAAACTGACAGGCCAAAATTCCATTGCTTGTTTATTCTTTTCTAGTTGTAAATCTGCAAATCTAACATCTTTTTTCTGTGTTTGATTTGTGCTACATAGCTCTGAAAAAAGAAAATGATCAGTGTCAGCAGCTTGGCAAAGCTAACCAAACCTACAATAAACAAATCAGCATGAGTGTGGAAAAAAATAAGTAGATTTCAGTTTCTGGGTTTGGATTTCAGTTTCCTGTAGCTATAAATCATGAGAATATATTTTGCCATACTGAAAAGCATAGATCCCATAAGAACAATCATGGAAGAAATTCCTGGCAATAATCTGGCTAATAACTTTGACAGGCTCCAGCATGTAAATGGGAAAGCCCATGAGAAATGGCACCCTATCTCAATCTTCCTGAGTGAAAATGTCAACACTGAAAAACTGTCCAGAAAAGTAGACTTTATCCAACCAAAATGTACCTCCCACACCATCTCTCCCGATGTCATGGATATTAATTGAATGGTAGCACATAGACACAGAATTTGGTTTCACAAAGATTAATCTGAGTCCTATTCATTTTGCTTTGGAAGTCAGTATGGACTTGAAAGGTAGAACCAAAATATATGAACATATTAATTTAAGTGAATGTTCCCTTTAAATTCTTTACTCATATTTGCGTCCATTATTTCAAATTTTGAAACTATTTTACTGGAATATTAATTTTTAAAAACATAACCCTGGTACAAGCTAGACATGATTATTAACTTTTACTTAAAAATAGTAAGTCTCCTATACCTGAATGCTTCATGAAAATTCTTTTTAGTCCTTTGCAGGTGGACCAAATTAAATTTATTTTAAAAATATAGTGGACCTGCTAGGACCTTATACCATCACCAGATAACTTCATCTGTAACAATTCAGGTGAATTCACTTTGCACTTAATACTGCCCAAATTTTTCTGCACATGTTAAAGCTTATAAAAATGGAAGTACTAGCTGAAGAAAATGGATGCAGAGAGATGGTTTACAACTACTTGGCCTTGCTTGATTTAAGGCTATGATTTTTCTCCTTACAATTTTTAGTAAATCTCACAGTGGAGGTACAAAAAAAAAAAAAAGAAAAGAAAACAATGTTCACAGAAAAATTACCAAGCTTGTTGCATGCTTACAGCAGCTAAGCAATTGCCTTACTGGAGAATCCTAATGGGCATTATAGTATAGCTTAGAGGGCTCATGCCCACAGTCTTTCCTATAAAGCAGGACTGTCCAACTAGTGGCCTAAGGGCTGCATGTGACCTCTGAGGGGTTAAATTATGGCTACTGGGCTCTTGGTCTGGGCACTGCTCCCACATCACTCTCTTGCTGCTGCTGCGGGAGTCTCTGGGATCCCTCTCCTTCCTCTGACTTCTGCTTCCTACCCCTGCCAATCCAGGGTAGAGCAGGGTGGGCACCTGCCACACAGTGCACTGGTAGTGCAAGGGCAGTGACACAACATGGCAGAGGGCACCTACACAGCAAGGAGTGCAGCCTGCCTGGCATATGGAATAAAAGTCCCAAACTTTCTTTGAGTTCATAGTTTCTTGACTTCTGTGAAAAAAATCATAGCCTTACACACAAGGCAAAGCCATGAAGAATCAGCTTCCTGTCTGGTAGGTGCCACACTGAGACAACCAACTCATTTCCTATATGCCATAAAGTAACCTTTCATTAGTAACTGCTTCTGATTACAACCACTTAGACTGGTAGCCCCTAGCTTTGTTGAATGTTCTCTGTTTTTTCAGGTCTGTCATGTGTCAAAGATACCTGGCAAGATGATCAAAAACCACAAAACCCTTTCTATTACTGTTGATTGCTGCTTGCCATCCTAGAGGTGCCTGCATTCCCACAATGCTGTTTATGGGCTCCTTTATGAGGAGATGCACTTTAGAAAGAGACAACCATGCATTTACACCACATTTTATGGTTTCCCTCATTTCCAACTGGCAAATAACCTTGTAGTCATAGAGAAGAAAGGCTGAAAGAGACCTCCAGAGGTCATGTAGTCCATACCCCTACCTGAAGCAGGATCATCCCTATCCAAACCATCCCATACAAGCCATAATCTAAACTCTACATAAGACTACCATCAACCCTGACACAACAGAGATCTAACACCCTAATCTCCCACAGGTAAAGCAGGAGAACTACAGGAACCACTATCCTGCTTTTATAAAATGTTGTCAGTATAAGCCTATGAGGTCCTAGTTAGAGGGTCACGCCCCCCGCTACAGACGAAGAAAAAAACCCCACAATCCATATTAACCTGGCCAGGGGGTAAAGTTCCTTCCTGACCCCAAATATGGAGATTGGCTTCACCCTGTGGAGGGGCAAGACCCTCTAGCCAGGAACGTCTGGCTTTGCTCCCATACAAGCCACCATGAAAATCTTACAGACTTTATGAAAATCCTTTAATAAACAGTAAGGTTAACATGCTGTACAACCCTCACAACACAGAAAAACAGATAATTACATCAATTTCAGAGTACCACCTAGCTAAGATGAACACCATTTTTCATAACAGAATATGAGAACAGAAATATGCCGATGGGGCTTGAGGTAATGCGAAACAAATTCAGACAACAGCAGGCTCTGGACCAGGTCTCAGCTCTGCAAAAAGTTGTTCTACATGAAGAAAAGCTCCTTCAGTGGTAAACTGATGCCTGTAGCTTTTGCTTTGGAGCAATGTATTATATTCCTTGAGCTGTGTCATAACCAATACTGATCTCAAAAGACAAGTGAATAACAAACCCTATGTTGTAAGGGATCTGGACAACATGATCTAATAGTTCTTTTCTGTCTCTAGTTTTTTATAATTCCAAGATAATTTTAATATCACAAAAGGAAATTCTGACAAATGTATAGTTGCTCAAGTGAGTTTCTTATCAAGGCAATCATTAGTTAAGGCAACTTCAACATACTGACAAACCTCAATTGTAGGCCTTAACATAAATACATTATCCATAATAGCCAAACACACTTTCATTTCTACTATATGATGATAACCCAATTCCTCAAAAAAATCAGATATACCCATCAATGCAGGGTTTTTTTCACGTGTCAACAAATTGATCTTTTTTGTTGCAGAGGATGTATATCACCAATTTTAACCATTTAAATCAGGGATGGGCAATTATTTGGGCCCATGGGCCAGATAGGGAGTTTAGGTGAGCTGTTGTGGGTTGGGTCAGCACCCCCCCCGCCCCCGTCATAGCTCACCAAAACTCCCTCAGTGGCCACCGCATTCAGCCAGGCAGCTGGGATAGGGTCACAGGTAGGTGGGAAGCAGTGTTTGGGAGCGGGATGGGTGGGTGAGGCCCAGATCACAGGACAGGATCTTGGGGCAGTGACAACATGGGGTTGGGCTGGCACAGAGCTGTGATCCGCTGCCCACACATCCCTGTGACAGGCACGGGTTCCACGTGCAGGAGTATACAGGGAGCAGATCATGGGTCTGCCCCGGCCCCCAGCCCTGCACTGTCACCACCCCACAATTCCAGACCTACCTCTGGATGCCGCTCCCCACCCTCCCGCAGCCCCATCCTATCTGCCTGTCCACGGGGGGTCCTGGCCAGTCTCCGTAGAGACCCTGGGATCACTGGGCAGTGACAGCATGGGGCCGGGCCTAGGGCAGAGCCATAATCCACTCTCTGCATGCCCCTTCCCACAGAACTGATGCCTGTCACAGGGGAGTGTGGGCAGATCACGGCTCTGTCCTGGGCCCCAGTCCTGGCCCCAGTCCTAGCCCCACACTGTCACCAGCCAGCGATTCTGGGTTCTCTATGGAGACTAGCTGGGAACCACGCAGGCAGGCAGACGGGATGGGGCCACAGGTGGGCAAGGAACTGCATCCAGGGCCAGGGCCAGGATCTTGGGGTGGTGACAGCACGGGGTCAGGGCTCGGGGCAGAACTGTGATCCACTCCCCTTACACACCTGCCCATGGAGCCCAAGCCGTACAGGCAGCAGATCATGGCTCTGTGCCAGCCCCACACTGTCACTGCCCTGCCCTGCGATCCTGGCCTCTTCCACCTATCTCACTCCTGAACGTTGTTCCCTGCCTGCCTGTGGGCCCATCTCAGACATCTGGCCGTGCACACTGCCTGTGCAGGTCCAGCCTCTAGCAGACTCACTAGGGTGCCCAGGCAGTAGGACTGGGTCTGGCAGCCAGAAGAAGCCACTGGAAAACAGATCCAGCTGCAACGCTGCCCCAGCCCTGCTGCACACCCAGGGGCAGTGGGACCAACCACATGCACCATAGCCCAGGCTACCCACTGCACCTGGGTTGCATGGGGCAGAGGGACGTGCTGTGGGCTGGACAAAATCCCCTGGCAGAGCAGATCTGCCTTGCAAGCCATATTTTGCCTAGCCTTGATTTAAATCAAGTAGGAAATCTTGATTCAGATCACCTAATTTAGACTTGTTTTGCATTTGCATTTTTAAAATTCTTTTCCAAAGAAAGGTGGATTCTCATTTGCTGTTTACCATTTAAAGTGCTGATTTACAAGTATATAGCCTTTATATTATATTGCTATTTCTTTCTGATAACCAAGATAATACATATATACATACATTTATTTAAAATTATGTAGCTTAAAATGCACTCACTCAAATATTCTGAAATTGTTTTTATGATGTTAAAAATTATGAATGATGCATTTTTAAAACAATTATTTTACACTTTCAATTTGTTTCAAGCTCTGTTTGAATGGCAACTCAAATTTCACAGAAAGTTCAAACATATTTTTAAAATTATTTATTTATTAATTAAAATTAAGTGCATTGGTTATATCAAGAAAGGATAAACATGTTTTGCATTAAAACTAAACAACATATCAATTGTAAATTGGATCAATTGTTTCTAGTCACCTGTCTTCCAAGGTTTTTGATTTCCAACTGCCAATCAGTCCCTGTACCATCAAAGCATTAAACTAGTTCAGGGCCATCCAACTTCCAAGCAGCCAGGAGCTGCACACTACATAGGCTGCACCAGAGGCACCCATGGGCCCCTGGGCTACATGCTCCATGGATGCTCTCCGCCTACCAATGCACTGCATGCCTGTGATCCATCCTCCCCGCTAGGCACATCTGTGACCCCGTGTGCACTGTATGCCTGTGGATCCCCCCACTTCTACACTATGCACACAACCCTCCCCCACTTCACTGTACTGTGCACCTGCAATCCCTCCACCACGTGCCTGTGACCCTCCCCCACTACACTAGGGGCCAGTGACCCTCCCTGTACTGCTGCACTGCATGCCTGTGCATCCCAAGTTTGCTCACAGGTCCCTGCACTGCTGCACTGCTCCACACCCTGGGATGGAGGTAAAAAGCATCAGCCAGAGGAAGAAAGGGGAGCCCAGAAACTCTGGCTGCTGTTACAGTGGAAGCAATGGGGAAAGTGGTGGCCAGGTAGGAACCTGGGAAACACAACGTAATGCCTCAGAAGGCACGTGAGGCCTGCACATGGGCAACTGGTGCCTCCTGAGTCAGGGGTGGCACTTGTCCCCCAGCGGCCAGTCAGCGACCAGAGTGTCCCCCTGCGGCCCATCTCGCTGACCCAGAAGTGCCAGCAGCACTTCTCCTGGTGCCCCCACTCCCTAGCCAGTGCTCTCAGAGGGGGCACCAGCGCTCTCACCTGCCCCACCTGCCTGTTACCCAAGAGGGGAACGCTGGCTGTCAGGGAATGCACCAGCCCTCTCAGGGGGTGCATGTGAACCCCCATGCACCCGCTACGTGTCGCCACTGGGCCTGCAGGCCACCAGCTGGACAGCTGAACTAGCTGAATAAACTAAAAAGAAGAAAATATTTTCTCTACACAGTGGCTGGCTCAGCGCTCCAAGAAATTCTCATTCCCAATATTTAACTATGCACTCCCAACCAGTTCAGCAATCTGACTTTTTTCAAGATTTCTTTAGCAAACCTGTCCTGCTTATTTAAATTCAATATAAATTGCAATTGATTATAGTACCTGTAGAACTTAACTATAAATGGAAATAATTTTGCATTTTATTTCAAGCATTTATTTCTAGTAATAACAATGCATGTAAAGATATTCTTTTGATAAAAAAATATATTTTATATATAAAAATCAGTGATTTCAACCCATCTGGCTTTCAAACCCACTTACCTGTGCTCAGCTGGAACAGGAGGCGGCCAAACAGCAGGATCCCTAAAAGGCTCATCTTGGTAGGATACAGGAATATCTGCAGGTTTGTCCATCTTAAAACTCTCTAGCGTGTTAACAATACTCTTGACTTGCTCATATTCTTCTAGTAACTCTTGTCGGACCTTCAAAATAAGTCATTTATTTAAGAAAAAAAGATTTCTAATATAATTTTAATTTGCAAGAAAAAAAGATTTAGAAAATATGAAAAAAATTACTGCTTTCTAAAGAGTAAATTGATGATTATTAAGAACTAAGGGTTCTATCCCAAAAATGTGTTCATTCTTATTATAGTGCAGTGAGCACGCTCAAGTGAGCACAAGCCATAAGATCCAAGCCCTAATACAACATGGTTCAGTAAAATGTAACATTTAACTCATGAGATGTTAACTTCATAAAAATCAAACCACAATATCCTGCTGAGTTTATAATGTGCAGATATATTTTGAAATATGTTAAGGAAATTGAATGTAGTGGGTCATGCTATGTTTGATTCTGAATGGTACAGGGATCCTGGATTTCTCTGTTTAAAGATCCAAAATGCTCTGATAAAAAAAAATCCAAAAGTCTCTGATTAAAAAACCCCAATGTCTGCGTTCTTAATGAAACACCACTATACACACGCACACAATTTTAAAGCAATTTTGGAAGCCTACCAATTCCACAAACTTACATGCAAACTTGAGCTAGATCCAGACCAGCGGTGCCCAACTTTTCTGCTCCAAGGCCAGATGAGTGGATACCACTCAGGGTCAGTCAGCAAGCTAGATCCAGCTTGTCATCTACATCCCATCCCTGCACTGGGCCCAGCTCCAGCTCTAGCCAGTACCCTGTATACCAAATTTAACCCCAGGCCAATTGCATCTGCAGCCCTGACATGCACAGGAATGCACGTGTTCTCCTGCTGCCAAATTTCTAACCCATGGGGAGCCCTGCAGGCCAGATGATATGGATCTGTGGGCCAGATATGTCCCCTGGGCCAGAGGTTGAGCACCACTGATGCAGGGCCAGTCCAAGGGTAACTGGTGCCCTAGGCGAACCGTGTTCCTCAGCACCCCCACCACCTCCAATATAGAGGAAAATAAGAAGCCTAAGGAGTATAGGTTCATCTTTTAGGATGACGTTGCCAGCAGTATGCTCTTGTCGTACGTCTGTTTGAGAGCTGAAAAGGTAGGAGTCGTGATTCTACTGATCTTTCCTCTGAGATCTTTTCAGAGGTCTTTCTCCCCTTACCAAACCAAAGGTCTTAGACCAAGGTGGAGCTGTAGCCAGCTAGGGTTGTTATTTAAAATGATGTTCCTGTTATTTTGTTTTGCATATAATTTTGGCGCCCCCCAAATTTTGGCGCCCTAGGCAACTGCCTAATCCGACTAATGGTTGGACCAGCCCTGCACTGATCCAGAACATGGCAAGAGCATCAGTAAAGCACATATTAAGGCTTTCTTATTTCATGTTTGTTAATCTATTACCTGTTGGCCCGATCCAAACTCCATTAAAATCAAGAGCAGCCTTTCCTTTATAATGCCCCCAATTCACTTTTCAGCAAAATCAAAATATTTAAATTGTAAAGTCAATGTGGCTATACCACGAGCTAATAAATCTTAAGCTCCATCTACACTGAGGTGTTTATATTGCAACAAGCTCAATTTCTAAGCATGTTGATGGTTTTTATTCATATAACACACTTCTTAGAACAATATTAGCTGGTGATACAGTTCATATTCTGGACTCAAGTCCGCATGTAAGTTTGCAGCATATTAATGTATACTAATGTACATTTGAGTGCACCTGTGCTGCACATGATTTTGGGGGTCCTCCAACTGCTTTGCTACAGAAACAATGAGTCTATTGCCCTAATGCACTTTGGGGTCATGCTGACCAGGTATCATGGCTCTGTAAAATGATGCAAGAGGTACATTTTTCTTAGGGTGATACCTTTTAAGCTTAAGCACAGCATAGTAAGGAAGAAGGAGAAGAGAATTTCCCAGAGGTAACAGACAAACAATTAGCAAAAGAAAAGAAGCTGATATAACTGGGAGACCAAGACCTATCAAAAGGGAGGAGGGTCATTCTCACCTTTCATGTGTGGGAAAAATTCAAGAATCAAGTAGGTTATAATGTGCCATAAAACCACTATCAGTGTTGAGACCCTGGTACTTAGTGTCCAGACAGCTTATGAATTTTTGTTCCTAAGTTTGCCTTTTAAAGGTGTCAGGCAGATCTCCCTTGAGCACGAGGATGGATAGCGAGGTCAGAAAGGGAGTGGCTGGTCTGTGAGAAAGGTGCTTTTAATGGTGTATGTATGTCTCTGTCCTTTTTATTTCCTGTGGCAGCTCATTCCAGTGAGTAGCTGCTGTTCAGTTTTAACCACCTAGTTGCCATGAGGCCATTTGGTGCATTAGATCAGATATATCCCATTTTGGGAAACGCATGTGTAGGAACCATGGATTCTGATGGTTTTGTTGTGGGGTCGGCTGTTGATTGTAGTAGCAGTGGAGATATGTTGACAGGTTAAGCAGTTCTTGCTAAAGCAAGGCTGTGTCCCACCTGGTGTTTGTTGGGCAGTGGGGAGTTTGCTTCTGATGATGAGTTGGGCAAGGTAAGGAGGATGTTTAATGATGGCACATAAGTAAGATTGGTCCATTTTCTGTTGTACACTCCTGGAACTGGTATCATTTCAACATTACTGCACTATACCAGGCACTGTACACCTATCTAGAGCCTTACAGAGGTACTGAAATATCTTGCCTTCTAGAAGATGAAAGTTCAAGAAACCTTGGAGAAGAAACATTGCAACAAGGATGTTTATAAAGCCACCACCAAAGGGATGGCTGAATTGGGTTAGAACCAGGGCAGGGCTGAAACCTAGAATGTAAAATCAGCTTACAAGAAAACAAGGAAAACCTGGATCCCTGGTAGCGCTTGTGCCTCCTTTCCATACTATGCGGAGCTGGGCAAGGTTTCATCAGGGGATGCTATCACCAAGCTGCAGCTGGTAGTGATACTCCTGAAGCAATGGAGGGATACAAGGACTGACATGGACTCCAATGAGGAAGAGTGACCTGAAAAGCAGGTCCTCTTCACCACACAAGAGCCTGGGCAGGTGTCGGATGCCTGAGAGGACTAAGAAGTTGCTGGCCTGCATGCTCTGCTTGTCAGCTAATGAGTGTTTGGATTTACTAGATGTGTTCTTATCAGTAGTAATAGGCATTGTATATCAGGATATACACCAGGAGTTTGTTTTTTTCTGCAGGCACATGAAATGCTGCCACAGTGTGTGGATGTGAGCCACTCAGAGACTCTCTGAGTTGTAGCCCCCTTCCTATGTGGCCAAAATGGCAACTGTGAGGGGCAGGGAGCACAGCTGGAGAGTAGAAGAAAATCTGCTCAGAAAAAATTCTCTGCTCTCAGCCAATCTGTCAGTGCCCAACCCCACCATTATTTTGCTCAGCTCTTACCAGTCTTCTGTCATAGTAACCTCTTTTTACTTTCTCAAAATACCAACTGTGTCTCCCTCTTCAAACTCACAAGATTAAAAAAGCAAATTCTTATAATAAAAATGCATTTACTATGTACGGTACAAACTAAGAGCAAAATGGATGACTGCATTATCTCAATCTGACCACTTCCTTTTTAAAGCTACAGTTTTAATGGCATATTAGAAGGTACCTGGTACAGGCACAAAGCCCTGCAACCAAGCACTGTGGCTGTTAGGTATTTGTTAGGCATTTTTTTAAGCATAAAGCATTACTTTTCAAAAGCATAAAGAAAGGTTAAGGTGTTTTTTTTTCTAGAAGGAAACTTTAACTCCATTTAGAAAACTCTCTCTCAGCATTTTCACATATAAGGCAACCACAAGGCAAGAGGTATAGGACACTTCAGAATGAATTGCTGCAAAAGTCCATTTATTTTCCAAGATCTTTGTTCATCAAAATGTTTGATGCATTCCTATACATCGCAGTGCAGTAGGGCTGAGTGAACCAGGAGCGGGGATTCCCAGAACTGAGAAACAGAAGGGTTTCTCAGCTCTGAAAGAAAGACAACCCAGAAGCCAGCAGTGAAGGGCCTCTCTATATCCAGAAGGCTGGCTAAGCAAGCTGTGCAAAGACCCAGGAGAACATGGAAAATGCCAGGGAGAGGAAGAAGCAGCTTGTGAAATACATGAACAAAAACAGCATGCTGAAAAACATGTTTCACTAAAGCTCCCCCACAGTCCACCTCTTCCTCCTTTCCTATAGATTCTGGAGGACAGTTCTTATTGGGATCAGCATTTAGCTACAAAGACTCCTGGTGGCACAGACACCACCTACAAGTATCAAAAACAACAGCTCCTAGGGGCCCACTTTGAGCCCTCCAACCCAACAGGGTGCAAAGAGGGGCTGGTTTTGCCATGGCATTCCAGTTCTTAACATTTCCAGGAGGGTGACTAGGCTGAAACCCTTTTTTTAGGAATTATCTATTCATACTGTTTCAAACTGTCATGCTGTTGTCTCTACTAGTTTGTATTTGTGGTTCTAAATATTTGTACTTTTGCATAAAAATTTCTCGCCGTGACACCTATAGCTGTTTGCACTCACACTTTTGTTAAAAAAAAAAAAAGAATGGTATTATTAAATTATATTTTTTATTAAATCATCTGTAATATAAAGTACCACAAAAGCCAAAAGGAACAGAGCATCCATTGCACAATGTGAATCTGGGCAACACATCTCAAAGAACTCCAATTCCTCTAAGTCAGGGGTGGGCAATTATTTCAGGTGGAGGGCCGCTTACTGAGTTTTGGCAGGCTGTCGCAGGCCACATGGGTAGCCCCGCCGCTTGACAGGTGCCCCGCCCCCTGGTCGCCATCTCATGCCCAAAAGTTGCACCCCCTAACCCCTGACTTTTGCCACCAGAGGTCCTTCTCCTTGCCCACAAAAATACTCCTTTCAGCAAGAGGTTTTGCCATCTGTGAATGAGAAAAATACCAAATTATATTCTAAAAAGTGAACATCTACAACATTCATTAATTTGATTTCAAAAAAATATTTTTGTCCTGATTTACATGTGTTTGTGTAGTGTACATAGAGGTGACTGCTCAATAACTTAACACGAAGTCTTACTCTTGTATGTTGTGGGGGGTGGG